TGAACGAAGCCTAGAGATATGCTTATTGCTAAATTACATAAAGAAGTATGTAAATCGTGAAATAAATTGTAGACTTTAGAATAAATGGCTACGGTAGTCTAATTACTTTTATTACACGGTTGGCTGTTTTTATGAATTTAGTATTCAAAACTAGCGGAGGTTCCGCTTTAAAGTGAATGAAGTACAAATTAATCATACTAATATTATAAATGCGAATGTTTGTATGGGTGGATGGATGTTTGTTTGAAGGTATCTCCAGAACAGCTGCACGGATCTTGCTGAAATTTGGCATAGATGTAGGACATTGTCTGGAAGAACACATAGACTTCTAATTAAGTATTATATTTTTTTCATTCGACGCGGACGGAGTTGTGGGCGCCAGCTCGTATTAGATTATTACAACTAAAAGCTTAATATTTCGCAATTCATTTTTCTGTACCTGATATAAAATGTGCCAAAAATAGATATTACTTCATAATTATTCAATCTAAGAAACTATTGCATAATTTTGCAAAGAAAAACGTTGTCTATATTAAATCGTATATGTTCAGGGATTGCGATTTTTCTTTACCTATTTATAAAGAGTTTGTCTATCTCTTTTGAACTCTTTAGCGCCACAGTAACAATGATATGTAATTACGTACATAATGATATGTAAAATATGGAATGTATTCAATGAAGTAACGGCTCCAAGTTGTCGAGAAACAGTATAATGGCGTTTATATGATTTGCCTAATTATTGTAACGCTAGCTTTACACAGCGGGGGCCGGGATTTAATTAATTAATGCGTAATGGCGACGCGGCGGCTCATGGCGGTGGCGCCTCAACTATATTCATTTGGTACATCTCTAGTATATGGACTTTATTTTTATACACATTGTTGGTTAAGATTTTTAAGAAAATAGTCTTCGTAAAAGAAGAGATCAAGGGAAATCGAAGTGTAGCCTACTTTACTAGTTTGGAAAGAACACCCGCTCACTTTTTAGAGTCGCGGTGTCATGGTACTTTAAGAATAAGTAGAAGAAGTCACCATAAATGCCTAGACAAATTAACAAAGGGGAGTGCAATCGATCGGTGACATATGGATTTGGGTCACGCGTGTCTTGTGATTTTCAAAGCATTTTATAAATTATCATTCATTATGAATGCTAATTTAGTAATATTTACTTTTAGTATAGGACGAAAAGAATAATAGATTTGTCTCTAACCGATAAAATACAAGGTCATGATAAACTAAAAAAAAAAATTCTATGCAATTAAGAATGAAACGAACGATGTCTGTGTGCATTTCAAATTCCTATTCGTATCAAATTAAATCATTTCCGATATCACCTTGCGCTTTATTAATGTTCTTTCTCTTAGTGTTATTAGCTTCAAGGTAAATCTGCGGCCTAATTACGTATTTAATATACGTTTGTACAACATCGTGTTTAACAATGTTATACGATATCATAATTATGTAAAATGCTACTGAATTTGACAAATTTACTTTTAAAATATTATTAAATAAATTATATGAATCGCATCACAATTTCTTATTGTAATTTTATAATAAAACGCTACGAAATCAAATTTTCCTTTCGAATTTAAAAATGTAAAAATTTTTGGTATCATTTATTTGATAACAATTAAGTTTTTACGTATATCAGGTTACTTCTTATATTCTATTTTTATGATGTTTTTATTTAACACTGGCAACCAATTAATTTTTTTTTATTTCCATAAAACACTTTTTTTACAAACACAAACGGCTAAAGTTAAACCATTTAATTATTAATTAGGTACAGTAAAATATATTTTGTTGTACAAAATATTTTTTTTAAATGTGATATTAAGGAAAAACTTACGTAATAAGGGACGTATTAAAATCATTGAGCAATTAATAAAGGCATAATTTCTAATATCCCGTTACATCGCAGAGTAGCGTTAAGGTAATTTTTTAAACCGTTCTAAGTATGTATATAATCGGAACAGATTAATTCTTGTATAGATTGGAGTGTTTATTGATCAATTAAATATTCTTAGAATCAATCATGCGGTCGTATAAAGTAACTTAATATTCAATTAACGGATTAACTTATCAGTGAGGCGAGCGTCCTTCTGAGCCCGGCTGGTTGCGGACGGCTGAGGCCGATTGCGTGTGATTTTAATTATAAATATATTTGTTATCATGTGTGTGTGTGTTTATATTTTATAGTACTTTTAAACATGAGCTACTGAAATATATATTTTATGTTAATTAAACAAAATAAGGCACTAAATTCAATTAATTTGTGTATTAACTACTAGCATTTTTAGACATTATTGTTTAGAATCCTTTGGCGCGAATGACGTGTTTTCGTTGCAAAATTCAGTGCTGACAATGATTGTGAGGGGAAATAAACGTCGACATTTTAAAAAGGCTAGTGTTGAGTCAATACACTGGCTCATTTCCGTATTTTCTTCTTAACAGTTTTTAGTAATTATTACTCAAATTGAGCTGGATGTAGTCAAAGAAGGGATAAGCAAAGTATAAGAAAGCACTCTTAGACGAAAAGTAGAAGAGTAAATTGACGTTCACGAATTTAACTTAACATTGTTAACTTGGATTAAGTCCAATTAAGTTGGATATTTTGTTTATTCATTACAGCTTTTTTAATAGCTCAATTGGTCAAATTAAAAGTTATTCCTATATAGCATCAAATTACATAATGCGATTTTTTTCAAATAAATAACATTTAATCGAATCGCTTACATAGTACGAATCAAGATATTTTCCTGTTTAAAGGAACAAGGTGAGGTTAAGTAACGTTACGTAAGATTGTATCAAACGTTGGTTATTCCGCGGTCAGACAGACAACTATGTAATTTATATCGCTAATAAGTATACAACTTGTATATTTATTTAGCCGACCGTTCGTTAGAATGGTCAGTGTTACGTTGAATGTTTTATGAACATGTTGCAAATACCGTTGTTAAAACATTGATTGACTTGATTATATGTAATATTAAAATCGAATTAATCACCAGTCCTTGATCTTTGACTAGGTTACCCTTTTTTTTGGATTTGAAAGAAATCTTGGTAAGATTTTGGGTAATAGATAGAGTTATATGAGATTCCTTTTCACTAAAATCCCCACAATGGTCAAGGCCAAAACCTGAATTGCAACTGCAAGGGTCCAGGATCTTTAATAGACCTCAGCGAGAAAGTTAGCCTTGCCCAGATTCATTTTTTCCTTTAAATATTATAGAAGATTTAGCTTCGTTAGAAGGCCATCATTTTAAAAGAAGCTAAATTTAAAAATAATTAAGCTCATTCTATAACTATCATATATAACTTGCTATATAAAAGTAAACTTTAAAATGTGTAGTACAATCGCTTACAAAAGTGTAAAGCAAATTCATTTAAGGGTTGCAGTAGTTAACAACGTTTGCACACGTAGGTACATTATTGCCCACTAATGATAATAATTTTCACGGTCGGGCGAGCACGGTCGGCGGTTGGACCTTATTATAATAAATTAACGGCAGCGCCCTAATGGGCCTCGTACGTAATTATACTCGATGTAACAAACTGCTAAAGGGACGTTAAAAAAATCACCAAGTCGCGTTGCCTCAGCAATTTGCACTCAAGGTTGTTCGTAACTCGCTACATTACGATTGTATTCATTTAAAGTAATATTAAGTTATATAGAGGATGTTACTGTCTGTAAGATGTGTTAAAACAAATACGTATACGATTGTTTTTTTTTTATTTTACATTTATCTATAGTTATATTATAAAGAGAAAAGATTTGATCGTTTGTTTGCATTAAATAAGCTCAAAAACTACTGCACTGATTTAAAAAAATCTTACATTGTTTATTTTTTAATTAAAATAAATACAATCAACAAGTAAGTTTAAATTTATCGAAAATAAAGTAAACATATAAAAGTCAAATATATATTCGTACCAATGACATTTTCTGCATAGGACAGAAAACGATGATGCCATCTCAGTTTAGCATGTTAAACGTGCAATATAAAATTTATTATCATCAAATATGTCAAGGTACTACAAAATGGTTTTAAAACATAAATTTATTCGAGATCCCTGCGTCAAGTCCATATAAAGTGCACAGGCAGCGGGCAGCGGGCACGTCGGAACGTCGACGTGGGTGTGTGGCTTACCGCAAGCCTGCCTACACTCGAATGCCCTAATACCCCACTCATTATGTTTATAATCCTTGAATCGTTGCGCGAACCTTTGCCCAAGAAGCCAGGTTTGTTGCTTGATTAACTTACTTCGTGTTTAAATATTGACAAACATTACAACATGGCTTCCAAACATATTTTGAGGGAAGTGTTAGAAAAATTTCAATGGTTTAGGTTAGGGGAAATCCTAAGTTTGATTAATAGTATTATAATTTCTGTTTAATTTAAGAACTAATTTTGTCTTAATTAAGCTCAGCGAAAAGCTAAAAGAATACACATTTTTTTAATTTTTGCACTCCCAAAATTCTATCTATGATCTACGATGATATTCTAATTATAACATTATTAAAGGCTGATGTTGAGTCACTTTTATTTAAAATACTTATATCAGAAATAGAACGATAAAAGTGAAGAAAAAAATTAAAAAAATGTTGTGTAATTAATTTAACAAGAATTAAGTATACAATATAATCAGTAATCAAAATAAAAGTAAAATCTTGAAGGAAGTAAGTGCGGTGGTCAACCGCAAGAAGCCTTACTAAAGCACGGCTTCCCAAGTTCGAGGCCGACGTTCTGTGATACAGCTTTTTAACTCTACATCAAAATAAAATAAAATGATCAACGATTTTTTAATGTTATATGTAGTTACACGAACAAGATCACTTTAAAAGCGTATTCATATTTTTTTTTTTGTTTTGAAAACTAAAGATTTTTACAACACCGGTGACATTCATGACAACAATTTACGCCTGAAACAACTTGATACTATTTTTTATTTAAAGCAACAAAAGTATCCAAATGTTAAAACATTCTTTGTTCTTTTTAGGTGTTAAAGATGATTCAGACGACGTATCAAGTAAGAGTTGCGGTGGTGACGCGTCAGGTCTGGCCAAGAAGCAGCGGAAGGCGCGCACGGCGTTCACCGACCACCAGCTGCAGACGCTGGAAAAGTCCTTCGAAAGGCAGAAATACCTCAGCGTGCAGGACCGAATGGAGCTTGCTGCTAAATTAGGTCTCACCGACACACAAGTCAAGACCTGGTATCAGAATAGACGGTGAGTTATTTTAGTAGCATTCAAGTAACATTATAATATACACATAGTCTTTGGTTTACACGGGATAACTAGCACAAACTAGTATGCCCGGGAGTTAAAATGTATTTATACATACTGACTGGCATCTTTGGATAGGCTATAAGTCTTGGTATTTTGTGCCAATTTAATCTTCGCCATTTTGGCGTTGACGGCAACGATGGCGAGGATTCGAATAGATATAGAATTAACTGTCGGAACAAAGCAAAATCTGTCGTTTCCAAGCAATCAGATCAGTGTACGTATTATTGTCAAAGTGGCTATGATGTACTTGAATTTTATAATAATTTATACATAAACTGAACATGCTAAATAGACGTTAGTTCAACGTAAAAAAGTAAATAACTTTGCTTCACTTTAATTTATAATAGCACACAATGATTTGTGGGAAAAACGTTGGTTTTTTAATGGAAAAATTGCTCAGTTTCGAGTTAAAGCCACCTCCCACGCAGTAATGGAATTATAAAAGTCGATACGTGTCTAAGAAAGCGCCAACATCAAGGTACAGTCGACTTCGTTGTCGGTATTATAGTTACAGAAAAACGTCTTTTACCTCGTAATTTTACAATGAGTTTAAACTGTCGTGAAATATTTGCATATTGTCATTCCTTTCATTCTCTTTGACATAACCGAGACCAGATATTAAGTAAATATCCAATAAGACGTTCAAACGATTATAGTTTTAAAAGTGAACTACCACTAGCACACCGTACTGTACAAAGCAATTACAGAGCGCTTTTCAAACACGATTCAAGTTATTAACGGCCGAATGGAAATGTTATGAATACGTTTTGAAATAAGTATAATTATTATTACAGACTTCTGAACATTTTACATACCTTAGAAGGTTTAATTAGCAAAAGAAAGCTTTAACGAATTCATTTAATTTTTGAAATATTGTTCTCTCGTAATTCTCTTTCTTGCGATTGCGTTCGCTGACGTTCTTTGACCTCGCACTGAAGGTTCTGCCCTAAATGTCTATTACGATCTTTTCACATACAAAGAAACGTTATATAGAAAAAGAATCATATTTCGTCGACAAGATTTGCTTCTTTCATATCAAAAACTAACCATGAGATAAAAAGAAAAGAATTACATTTGTGTGGAAGAATAACTCAGTTTTATAGCATAGAAATTATCAAGTACAAACTATAAGGCTATTTGTAACATATACATAGGAAATAAAATAATTTATTTCCGAGTTTTATATATTTTTCTAAATCGCTGTAAGCTTATGAATTGTTACAGTAGCGGGGCTGCGTGAGATAGTCGGCGTGGCACATAGAGTGTGCTGAGTCAGCGCGGCGCGATCTTACTGCTTATTGATTATTGTGCACTTGTACAATTCTAGTGTTTGTAGCTGTCGAATAAATAAATACTTACATTTTATGTACGTAATATCGAATATTAAGCAAATTATTTTCATAGTTAATAAAGCAATCAAATCAAGAAAGATATGGTTTCTAGGAAGGTAGCGAGTATGCAAACATTTAGCGTTCTTTTAATTTAATAATTGACAAAAAAAAATATCTGTACCTACTCTATGCGATCAAATCATCGTGCATAATAAATTTACATGACGCGAGTTGTTGTCTACTCTACACTATCTTATAATATTAGATTGTTTACTTTTAAGGTCCTTGTTAAAATCTTGTGTCGGCGACTGTACCTGGCGGTGATTTCAAAAACAAACGTTCATAATTAGGCCTCTGCTTGCCGCCGACTCGCCTCACCTTTAAACGTTATAAAAAACTACGGTAGTCCAGAAAAAAAACGACTACCTTTAGTAATTTCGTACCAATTCCACGCCTTTTTATTTCCCCGTATTACTTTTAATCGATTCGTTTGATCATTTAGAGGTTTATTGATATTTACTTTGAATAAACCGGAGTATCAGAATGACAACAGACATTTAATGTATTTAATCCAACTCAGCTTTTCCACAAAGCTCTCGCTATTCGTTTATCCAACATTTTGGTCAGATTAGTTCTTTGGCCAAAAAGGTTTTTATAACGACATAACTGAATTGTTGATCGCGGTTTTTGAGGCCGATATTTGACACATTTTGTACTGTGTAAAATTTGTCCATTTTATAAACATATGAGACCGTGTGCTTATTAGTTGATGTTATGAACTATCATTGACTTATAAATATTATAGTGATTACATTGCGGATATAAGCGTGTCAAGAAATTAATTTCCCATCAACGGCAATGCAAGCCGCACACGACGCCTCACGTTCTACGCGCCTCTCGCCCCCGCCCGACCAATGGCTCCTTTTTTTCACGTAGACACTTTTTGCCCGACTTTTTGTTGGTTTTCTATAATTTCGGTTAAACTAATGTTTGTACTTCGATTTTTCGGTTCGTGAAAGACTGTGAAATCGTAGTTAATTGAACGAAGCAACGACTTTTATCTTTCGGTGAACTTTCGTTTGTATGTTATCCCAATGGAAATGCTTGGTGCCGATTATATAAATGGTGTTTAACAAAAAAAAAAGGTTTTTCCATACTAACGTCAAAAACTATTTTGTTTTTAATTGGACGGAGATAATTTGTAATAATTACAGTCACGCCATTTGCCTTTTGAGTTATTATAAAGAAAAATAATTATGTACGTACGTAGCTTCTTTTAATTGGTTATGTTATGTTTCTCTTTGAACAATTTAAATTTTCGAAATCGTTTTAGTGTTTACGACTTAAATTAACATCAGCTAATTTAAGAAACAGTTGCGGTTGATAAAAAAAATACTTGATGGTTATACAGAACAGATTTTAATCCTCATAGAAGGCATTTTTTTACTTATAATAATAGACTGAAAACATATACAAAGGCGATTTAAGTAAATAATCTAACTTGAAATTGACTTAAAGTATGTGGCAGTGTTAAAACTTCCACTAAAAAATTACGAGGATCATAAGTGACAAGAGACCGTTACCGACAAGCATATGCATAGGTAGACGTATCTGGAAGAAACGTACAATCTGATAGAACTGCGGTCATATTCTAATATATGGCTAACCATCTAGTTTACTAGTCTATATGTTATTAAACATAAATAATTTTAAGTTTCTAACATCAAAAAGTTTTGCAAGTATAGAGTAGCCTAATTTTAGTCTTAATTTCCTTTCCACCCTTTGGGAAGGGGCAGTAGATTTGACGAAGGAGGAGACGAATAGAAAGGGGCAATATTCTCTGACTGTTAGCACACTCCTGTGTCGATTAAAGATAAACAACTCATCTACAATTGCGGATGTCTATAGGTAGAGGTGGTTTCGCTATTGCATGTTGTTTTGCCACCTGTTAATATATTAAAAAAAATCTGTGAGACTAAGTGTTCGTGTGAAATGGCTGCCGCCACAGCCGCCGGGTCCACAGTTCTCAGCCGGCAGTCACCAGTCTGCAAGTCACTGCCTGCGCGGCGCCGCGCCCGCCCATTCATTACGCACACCGCCGACTAAATTTAATAGTTTTTACGACTTATCTGCCCTATATGTTTACTTAATTGTTTCCCAACGTACTAATTTCCGGACACCGCCGACCGACTGATTTTGAACGAAGCTTTCGTACCTACTTTTTGTGTTCGTATATCTGTGAAGTTACTGATTTACATCACGGAAAAAATGCAAATGCAACATGGATCAAGTGTCAGTGAGGTTTCTTCCGTTTTTAATTAAAAATACTTTCAATTATAATTTGTATCACTTTCAAAATTAGTGGTTTTTGACTTAAAAATGTCTACTCAAAGTGAAACATTTCAAGGTAATTGTAGACAACAATGAACGAATACTTAAAAAGCAATCTTATAACGCCATAATTTCATTTACAAAGACACGATTGAGTTTCTACGGAACGCTTCCATGCAATTTGGTCAGACATTAAGTCCTGCACGGCCGACGTTGTGTGGCGACTGTGTTCAGCCATAAATTCGTAATAGGCCGGGGGCTGTCGGCGCGCCGTTTATCGCCGTTTAGTCGGCGACGTGCAATCCGCGACCATTACCTAATGACGCATCCTGTAATGACACACGGCCGGACGCCTCGGATATCACGCCACTAGTGTTGTACCACATGATCGATAACAATCGATTACAATTCCCAACGGAATTATCTTCTTCGATTCATTACGAACATTTGTTCAATTGTAATAAGTTCTTTCAAGAGATAAATAGAGAATTATATTTATATATACGCCATGTTTTCCATACGTAAAATATTTATAACATCACACGAATCTAGCCCGTTAGTCAGATATGTGCCAACCCTATGGTAATGAAATGTTTTCATCCCGTAAGAAGCACGTAAGTTCACCTATTTCGCTAGTAGCAATCATGTTAAAGCAAAATGCTCGGCCTAATGCACACCGATTCGACATGAACCCCGCTCTTAATAGCTTCAATGAAATCACATTAATCTCTGTCCAATGTAATGGCTCATTCATTTGCCTTAATAATAACTTTCTTTTTAAGTCGGTACTAAGGGCACCTGTAGCTTCACATGTCTATAAGTGGACAGTATTTTTTAATCTTTATAACGAGATTTAGACCTCATTTATTTTTAATTATTCTATATGTTTTTGCAAACACACATAATTTTTCATTTTAAAAATTAAAATTAGTATCATAAATATTCATTAAATAAGTGAACAAATAGTAAAACTTAAAATGATTACGAACTAACCTGCTACATTACTATTTTTACATTAGCTATAATACATAACATAAACCATACTAGTTACATAATCGCTTAATTAAAAGTTATATCTCTATTTTATTTGAGAACGTATACAATTGTTGGCATTCAAAGTTATACGAAGGTGACCTTTTTAATAACAATAAATTTATTTTTAAATTTATTGTTCTCTTATAGGACATTTTTTATATCTATTCTTGTAACTTAGAATTCACTAAGTGTGACTACACACTAATGATATAATGCAGGGGTTTCGCAATAAACTACCGAGAAACGGACTAATCGACCCCGAGAACCCTTCCAAATTACACCTCCGCAAAGACACGGGAATCGAAGCAAGGTCGCGCAGGTCGCCTGGCTTATCATTTACGCGCTAATCATAATGCTGGAAATGCCATTTCTGATTCGGACGAGTTTAATAGCAGACTGTGCGGCCGCTTAATTCACAACCAGTGATTTGACCGCGCCAAGTTCGGATTATGACGAAGTTTAATGTTTGAGAATTCAACGACTTAGCATTAGGCGCCAGACAAACCATATATGTACGTCCTAAATGTCAAAATAAAAATACTACTTTGTTGATTTGATTATATGACATCAAAGATGACTAAGATTTTTTTGCCTTTTAGATTCCGATGTAATCTGTAAGATGTTGAGATAATTACTTTGAGCTATTGTATAAAAATGCCAACCTGCTAAATAAAGATGTTCAAACTTCTACTATAAAATACTCGTCGTCCTGAAACTTTTTAAGCGCCGTATAAATAATGTTCCACGAAGCTCAATTTGGGCCGAATTCGTCGGATGTAAAAGGTCGCAAGCGTCCGCGACGCCGCATACTGTTCGGATCGATGAGTGTACCGGCGCTCTCTTTGTTCGTCGTCTATACAAGCCGAATTCGCATCACGTAGCCGAAAAACACAAATCGAGATAAACAACCTCCCCCTCGGAGAGGTCGTAAGCGGCGACGTTTTAGCGTACCGTTTTAGTCTTTACCGAGAGCCGTTAAGGCTCGTTTTCGGTTGAGCCGTTTCAAAATACAATTGAATCAGTTCACGCAGCATCAAATCACTAAACCACTGGGCGGAGCGAGCGCAGACTCCGCCGGGGCGCGGGGGGCACGGGGTCGCGGGGGACGCGGGACAGAGACGGACGAAACCAGCTTTCACGATGCGCCGCCGACGTCGGAACGAGAGGAAGGTAGCGAGACGCCTCGAGACGGCCGCAGCTGGGGCAGGGGACGGCTCGAGACGGCAGCCAGCGGCGGCTAGCATTCGAGTGTTATCCGAGAGCTTTTTGTCCGTGCCCCACGGCGTTAATAAAAAGAATAGTGTCACTGAGCAGATTGCCTCTCATTCAGTACTCGACAATTAAATAAGTGGTGTCGAATGTTCGCCGCTCGGAATGAGCCGTCATAATACAAGATTAATGCGTACCGCCGCTTTCCATCGATCAATTGTCAGCTACTGATAATTATAGAGCCGATCCTATTAAAATAAAATATTAACACTTGACTTTTAACAGTCTTTTAATGTAATTACATTACATTTTGTGAATAAGCCTTCATTAGAAGCGTAGCTATATTCAAATAGGATTATCGGATAAACAATATAACTAAATCTTAGTTACCTTCAAACCATAGATTCCCGTCGGTCTTGTTGGCCAGTTATTATGTCAGATAAGAAAAGGTCAAATCGAATGAGAATTTCATTGATTGACATAACATATATGTCGAAATAACATCCTTAGATAACTTCATCTTATGTCATCATCATTATTATCACCGATTACATGAAATATTATATATAAATACTTTGTATATAAATAACATTTTAAACTATAGTACTTCAAATATATAGGGACAATTTTACAATAAATCTTTACAATACAAACGTACTCGTAATATAAAAGCAATTATGATACAAGGGGTGTTGTAAATTGTATTAAGTAAGATAGCAATGATAGATCTAATAATACCGCATCAGATGAATAACAAAACAGTCCCCGAACTCCCCCTCATTTACATTTAATAAAATTAAATGATCCATTTACAGAAATTAATTAACGAGGTAACCAGTGAAGCGTCTGCTTACAGCCGTACAGCGGCAACCCCAATACGACTCCGACAATAGCTCCCGCGTAACAATAACAGCAATGATAATACGCCTCGAAATAACTCCCTTAGAATTAATAAAAACCTTCAATGACAATAACAGTCCACTTGTAGAAACTAAATTAAAATGAGTGCACATTTAATTTTGAAATACGTGGCTGTTTTTAAGCTTTATGTTTACAATTTTATTATATAATATTTTAATATCATGTCTCTTGATTACTCATTTAACAGAAAAAGGCTTCAAATATAAGTTATCGATGTGAATTTTTTAAAGTTTCAAAAAGCCTGCATAAATCAGAGTAAAATACTTGCGTTGTTTGTTCATAAGCATTGAAACCTTTTAATATAGAAACATCCTATGATAAAAAGCTCAAACTATTGTAAGTTCAATAATTCAAATACTGTTGGACTTTGTTAAAGTTATGTTGCATAACTGAATTCTACGTGCGCTTCTTGTGGTAGGCGGTAATATTTTTGAAGAAAAAAATCTCAATGCTCTATGAATAATGATAAATGCTGCTTTTAATACTTTGCTTGCGAAATCATCAAACTTTCGGTTAAATCGTTTCTCTGAAACGACTAAATAGATCATTTAAAAAAATCAACGACATCCCGAAGCAATATCTCGTATACATTTCGATTCACCCTTTCGAAGTGAATCAAATAAATCAAATTAAAGTACTCGACAACGCTCCGATGAACACACGAGTGCCCAAGACGTTTTGTCAAATTTATTATTTTATTTATTTATTTTTTTATTAGTCATCCCATTGTGGTTATCTATATTGTGCTCACGAGTGGCCTGTGACAAATTTGATGACGATCGGGGGTCACAAGCTGCGGGGCGAGTGATCTATGGTCTCGGGGTCCGTAAACGATAGTTTAGAGTATTTTAGTGAACATTTCAATTTGCAATGTGGTTTTGTAAAGTTTTTGTGTGCGTTTTGCTACGACAACGATTTATTTCTTTTTCAACGGCCTAACATTATTATTTGTGAACATTTTTTTAAAACTACCATCTACGATATAAGTTCAATGCAATAATTACTTACGGCATCTTTAACTTTAACCTTGTAGATTTTTTAGCTACGTACAATATGTTTAAAACTAGTTATATTAATAGATGTTTCTTCAACAGGACAAAATGGAAGCGACAGACGGCGGTGGGTTTAGAGCTGCTAGCGGAGGCAGGAAATTATGCGGCGTTCCAGCGGCTATACGGTGGATACTGGGCGGGTGTGCCGGCGTATCCAGCGCACGCTGCACAGCCTGCGCCTGCCGCAGCCGCTGACCTGTACTATAGGCAGGCCGCTGCGACCGCCGCAGCCGCAGCCTCCGCCACAGCAAACACGCTGCAGAAGCCGCTACCCTACAGGTAAACTTCCATCACTGTTCTAACTCTACAATACATAGTTTCCTATTTTTTCAACGTTCAAGAGTTACGAATAGAAGAACACAGACCACAGAACTTTATCAATTTCAATATAACAATATAATAACGACGATATTTCGCTACTACGTTGTAAAAAAACAAATTTACAGAACTCTTTTCTTTCCAGGTTATACCCTGGTGCGCCTCTTGGTGGTGTACCGCCTCTGGGTCTTGGTTTACCAGGACCTTCGGCTCATCTGGGCTCTCTGGGGGCGCCGGGGCTAGGTGCTCTGGGTTACTACGCGCAGGCCCGACGCTCGCCCTCCCCCGACCTGGACCCCGGTAGCCCTGCGCCCCCGCCGCGCTCACCACGAGAACCTTCATTGGAGAGACGCTCCGATGATGAAGATGATGATGAACCTATTCACGTCTAATACCAGTGAATACAGACTTAGAAATCTCAAGTTAATAAATGTTTAAAAATGGAAATGATTGTGATATAGACACGAATAATAATGTAAAGTGAAATAAAGTGAATGGATAATGGAACAAGGATTTCCTTGTTATATTCGTGGTTCGGTAAAATATGTGAACTGGTTATGGTTTATAGAGACACACATGTTGCATTTGCACTGAAAATTTCGAAACGCGCAAAACGTATTTGAAATGATTCCTCATGGTCACTACGTCACGTCACCCAGATTGTGAAGTGTGGACGCAGGTCCATTATTATGTGATATTATAAGCCGAGACTCGTATTAAGTAGACGTAAGTAATGTGTAATATAAATATAATAAAATTGATGTCGTGTAACTATTAAAATAACGCTTTGTAGACTTCGTGCGACACAACAAATTACTTTCATCATTGAAAAAAAATCGCGCAATGTTTTACTAAAGAAAATTAACTGGTTTTTAGAATATATATAATTAATAAGCCAAATATTATTTATTTCTACGCTTTGAGCACAAAGAAATTAAAATTTTCATATGGAAAATATTTATCAAATTAAATTAGTAAATTTGACACAAAAATCCGTGAACGTTGATTGTAATGTTGTAAAATAATGGACACATTATGTCCATATTTTACTGTACCATATAAACAATTAAATATTTTCATAGTCTCCATGTTTTTTACCTTCTTCCGTCATAGCGCTTATTCTGTTTCTTTTTAACTTTCATAACAAATCAATTCAGAAATAAAACTAATGTTCTACTTTTTTTATTGAATTAATAGTTAAAAGAAAATATAAATTTGTGTAAGAACTTAATAAAATTATAAAATTTGGCATTTGTGCGAAGAAGCTATGTATTATAATATAAATATATAACTATTACATTATATATGTACTGTTAGTATTAAATACACAACCGTAATGTTGGTATATAACGATGTACCTAAAGCTACTATAGTTATACGGCGATGTATGTACTTAAGCAAACCGAAATGTGGCATTTCATGTCCATAGATTTTGTGGTGTTTTATAATTAAAATGTTGTCAATTAAAATATTACTTTAATTTCATTTTGCCTTAAGACATCTATTATTAGGCTAAACACAACTTTATAGTACGATTCAAATAAGAATTTGCACGAATCGTACTATAATATGTGCTAAAAATCAAGATTTTTAATCAAGCATTATTTCAACAATCACAAAAGTTTACTATAACAACATTGCTTATTGTCGAGCTCTTGAGGTACTACTGTACATTCACATAACGTATAAATGTTGAGTAACGAGAACAAACAAATGTGTTAGCCAACAAAGCCATTAATTGTTGGATCATTAAACATGTATAAATATGCGTATAAGCTATCCATTTGGGCGGTTAACAGCTGTAACAAATACCTGAAAGTAGCCGGAGCTCTGCGACTAACTTCGCTAAGTCACGCCAACGGAATAGGACCGTGTTAAATTGTGTGAGCTATCTACATTTGCGAAGACCGCGCTACGATGGTTAGCTAGCCGGGGGCTACTGTACACTTTCCGTAAAAAATATTGGTTACTTTTCAAATTCATTACTTTAAAATTTTAAAACCTAAGCACTATTTTGTAGTACATTCATGCGTACATAAAAATTATATTAAATACTTAATCGATATTATAACAAATTGATGCATGCACTAACTCTACACTAATATTACACTTGGAGTTCCCTTAGTGCTCAAAGTTTTTTTAATGGTCAGTATGCAAGCAAATAACGTCTTAAAAGTGACGGTTTTTTTTTACATCAAGTGTACATTACGAGTATAACTTTGTTGCTCAATCGTGTCGGGAGATCTACTCGCGCCGGCCCCGCTAACGCTGTCTACTGAGCGCGCACGGAACTGTTATTACTGGGAATACGATCTCACGATTGATTTGCGATTGCAATTTGCATACTCTTTTATAATTGTGCATGTATCCGATGCAAACAGCTCTCTTTAAGACTAATATTTACATGTAAGACTCCTTTTTCACTAGCCCGACTACAGCTACTTTGGTCGCGGCTTTCATTTCTATAAGCAATATGATTATCCAATAGGAAACTGCATTGGATAGTTGTAGTCTTGTGCATATAGAGTTGCACCGCAGATCGCGCGATGGGCAGTCACATAATATTTCAATTATATAAACTCTCATTACATTCTCAACTATCAAATTACCAGTACCACTCATCCTGATCCTGAAACTAGTAGGTGCCGCCACCGGACGAATATACGTGAGTGTTTAGCCGTGTTTATATATCAGTTTAGTGTAATGTCTCACGAAAGTTTTAATAATTTAATATCAAATTCCCATCATATTCTTAGAAAGTAGCTTACAAATTCAAAAGATATTCTTGTTAAATAAATCAATCATCACATTCTTAAATAGTTCTTTAACTTCTTTTGTTGTGTAAAACTAGCACAAAACAACAGTCATTACGTTTCCAACAGTCATGGTCACCATTTTGGATTCGTTGAAACAAATTCACCTCGTTTTCATATTTCCACAATCGTTACTAACGAAAGTTATATTCGAGGGCTTTTCTTGGATTTCCTTTTGAAGGTTTTTATTGTGCATAAAACCTATTTAAAAAGTAATCAGTCAGCGGTCGCTGATTGCTCGCGAGGCACGCCACCGGTCGCGGCCGTGTTCACAAAACGGAGCAATTAACAACACCCACCCCTCGCGTCTCTCCTCCCGCGCCCTCCTGCAGTTCTACTCCCCTTCCACAATGCCCACGCCGCTGATCTAATCGCAAAACGTCCGTTTTCTAGAATCGCCTTTACACAAACTATTGCGTGTTTTATCACGCTGGGGCACCACAGTTATCGTTGGGGAAACGATTTTTGACGACCTGAAAATTGGAGGACCAAATCAACTGCATGCACAGTAAGTAACTTTTGTATTTTACATTTTCCTAATATCTACTAATTAATTATATCCACTTTGGCTTTACATTGTTTTATTTTCTAAGAATTGAAATAAAAGTGTTAAAACTTAATTACAATCGACCGTTGTCGTTTATCATTTAATTGCACGACACTTCAGAATTAATAAGTAATATCGCAAACGTGAAATGTTCCTTAAACATGAAGATCTATAGTCAGGTTTCCGATGTGCGATGTGCCTTAAGTAAGACAATAAAAGGTGATTGCACCTATTACTTGGTACTATTATACGTAAAAAGCAAAACAAGCGGTTAACACGCGAGACACCGCTGCCAAATGAATATTAATGTTATTTAAACGTTCTTTAATCACGATCAACATGTATGCTTTTTATGGACATACAACATTTTTGCCTTGTTTGTATCGAACTCTTCTAAAATTCTTGGAAAACATGTGTATAGTTATTATAAATATACGGTAAGTTGTGTAGAATTGTGAGAATGGCAATTAGCAGGGCGTCTTAGAACGGTCGTCTGATAACGTAGAGTTTCCTTAACCATATGTAAAGATCGACGTATCAAATGTTCGGACATAAGATTGCAGGAAAATCAAATCAAACTGAAAAACGACTTTGTTTAATGATGATGATGGAGATCTGATTTAGTTATTCATTCACGGTATGCCATTAAATCATTTAAAATATAAACGAAAAGAAATAAAAAGCCATTCTTTAAAATATTTTAGTACACACATTCGAAAATATTGGATTCAATTTAAATTTTACTTTTTTAACTACGAAAGAAAAAGTTTTTGGAATTATATAATAGTTGTAGAAGTTATTGTATATTTTAGTTAACTGTGGGTTTCTGAATCCAAAATCTCCGTTTAAAACATATTACTTTATCTGTTTTGTCAAAGATGAAAGACAGTAATGGCGATATGTTTTATACAGTGATAGGTGTCAGAAACCCATGGTAAGTACAGTATTTTTTTTTTATCTCAAAGAAACTATCATCCACAAAGAAACTTCATTGATACATGCTTTATTACACGTATTATTTATTTGAGTTCTTATTTCCTTTAATTTTGCATAATATTTTATTAAGTGTGTCGAGCTAATGTTTCCTGCATATAACTAGACTGTTTATCGGAGCAATTAACTTTCCTTCTTGTATAATATTTAATATTGCCCATTAATTAAAAAATATTTAACATTATTAAAGCAACCAAATAGCCATTTAAATGCGTAACGCATTCCTGGTGTGTACGATAAGTTAGAAAATGATTTATGAAAGATATAGTAACTTCATTTTATCCACAATTTGTTTGAAATATGTTAGTCAGTTCAAATTACGTTGATATTATCTATTTTAAATTAAATAAGCAATTATAAACAACGACAGACCACATCCGTATATAGATTTCCTAGTCCTAAAATTAAAATATAACCTAAACTAATCTTATTACTTTTCTTTACGGCAATTATTTAGGTGTGCTAAGATAGGTAATGTTTTTATTACTTGTGATTAGAAATTCCTAGAGATATTAAAATTATTATCATTAAAATAAACGACACAAAAGATCATAGCGCAACAATTCTAGTTAGTGAACATTATTTTCATTTACTGCTCTTTTATAATCATGATTTTTTAAACTCCATTGATCGCAACCTTATCCTATATACATACAAAGACTTGGAAAATCGTTTAACTGATTTAGATATTTATATTTATTTGAAAAAAAAGCATTGTTTTACTTTAAATGATGGTAGTATAATTTAAATAAACATTTATAATTCTAATTAATCATTAAATAAGGTCAACTGAACAACAAGAAGCCCTGATCGACTGCACTCGCGGAATAATGTGACTTGAAACACACTTCTTCCAAATTGATTAACCGTGAGTTTCTGACACTTAAATCTCTATATAAAACATATCATCTGTGTCATTAACTTGAAAAAAAAACCATCTCTTTTGGATTTTGCTCTCCGAAACCAACGGTGACCCGTACATATGTACAAAAAGTCAAAAGGAAACCGTCAATAACAATAATTTTATCGTTTAGTAAAAAAAAGGAATAAAAAATGTAATTATCTATTAAATCAATGTTAGTTTACTTTAAATTTCCAACTTTTATTATCTAAATGTGGTATAAAATAACGAGTGTTCTGTTTAAAATCAATGGGCAGCCGGATCGACGGCGGGCACCGGCGGTCCCCTTGCGTTGTAGATTTGTATCAACTTCCGTCCGCACCGCCGCCCGCACACCCCGCACCCCGCGCAGCCCGCCGACTAATTACTCATTACTAGCGGTTTTAGGACCTTTTGTACACCGCTATCGATAAAGCATGCACCTCTACAAATTTAAGCCCTAATAGCTCAACGGGTTTAGGTTCTACACAGAATTTTAAGTTGTAAGTTCCAATACGCAATTCTTATTTTCACTGTTCGTACTAAGGAATGACATTTGAATTCAAATGAAATGCCTATAGATACTAAAATATAAGGATACTCAAGCTACAGTACCTACGTAGTTTTTAATACACTAGAGAACTCCTGTCTCGACATTATGTG